CGTGTCGTATCAATCTCGATTCGCATGAGTAGCCAACATCAAAGACAATGAATCACTACACCACTTCCTTGCCACACAAATCGGTTGGAGACCACAGCCAGAAGATGACGCGGCTCATCATTTGCCGTATTGCTTGGTGCTTGGATATCCCAACTCAAGCTACGGACCTCAAAACAACGGACCAACGCATGTTCCGATAGTCAAAGTTTCTGCCCACCATCCCACCATTCCAGGGATGTCTCGATCTTATAACTGACCAACCATGGCGGCTAACATCAGACGACGGATGACAGTCAGACACCACCACCTATCCAACGTCAACTTTGTCGCCTGGCTAGAGTCGTCAGCCAGGAAGGATGTTTGGGGACACTCGCTCATGCGGCCGCTTATGGCACCAGCCTAGAACGACCGGTGACGAACACATTTGTCTGACTTGTCAGAACTCTGTCAGGGCGCGATGTTCACATGCACTCCGTCTCATTTCGACACCATCTCGGTCTTTGCGGCAAGCGTGTCTTCCGAGACCGAGCAGCCCAGCCTCCCGATATCCTCGAGAAGGGCCCCCACGCCCGGTTCTGCTCGGCATAACCAACATCCCCGCTGCCCCCCGTGACCCCGATCTTTCCGATCCGACCCTCCTGTCGTCGTCACTCCGGAGGCGAGCGGAAGCCTGGAAACAGATTACACAGCAGTCAGCACAAAGTACCTCGGTTACGAGGCATTTCACTGCATTTTCAGGCTCGCTCGCAACCTGGCGTAAACATGGAAACGACCGTGGCATAGCCCGTTGCAGGCATCTAGCTCCTCACATCTGACAATGGACTTGTTGCTCCAACAGGTTCTATTGTGCTGCAAGTCAGCATTTCCCCTGTCCTATATCGCCCCATTATTGTCACCTGCCATATCACCTGCCACGTCCCCGTCACGCATACGTCGTTTTAAGCATTCCGGGTTGGTCTTCCCGAAGAATTCTTCAGCAAAAAGCACATCATCCCGTCAAGGCTCAACCCCGATAACCGAGTCATGTAAATCTAGGCAAATCCGCCCCTCCTCGTCCCCCCTCCCATTCTTTCTTGGGCCTCTCATACCCTCGCAACCCCGAGAAGCACCGTAGATCCTGCGGTCTGCCCCCTCCTCTCATCCCTCATCCCCGCCATCCCGCAATCGGCCGGGGCGGCCAACGCCCGACGTCCAAAGATGCCCACTCAACCACTTTCTACGACACACCGCACTTTGCCTGCCGGGCGGCCATGACGGACGCTCTCCACTTCTACTACGATACTACCAAACCAAAAAAGCGCGCCGTTCATTCTCCAACACAGCGCCGTCGCATCTCGGGAAGAAAAAAAGAAACCAGACATTCTGCACCGCTGCCAGACCAAGGCGGCCCGCCCTTCTCCCACGTGGAAAAAAGCAAAACACAATCGAGGCCATCTAGCTTAACCCGCCTTCTCTCGAGTCAGTGCGTCGCATCGGCTTCCCGCTCTCGTGCTAGACTGGCATGCTGGGTACCTTCCATTCCCTCGATGAATCCAAGGCGTGGCTTTCGTCGAGGCTAATGAGGAGCCAGGCAGCCTTGTGCAGAAAACGAGCGTGAGGAGCTGAAGGAGGCTATCCCGGGCAGTGCGGGCAGATGGACCTGGACAGCAAGACGGGAAAAACGAGGCGTCCCTTGATCAAGTTTCCCGGGCGGAGGCGCGCGTCAGAGCCCGATTGCTATATCGGGCCTCAAACACACCGTCGTCGTCACGGCTCCTAGATCCCCCTGGGCCTAAGACGACGCCATCAACAAACTAGCACGTAAGACGATTGCGCCTGGGACCGGTTCAAAAGGCTAGAAGCACCTCTGAAGATGGTAGCCGTGACTAAGAGCAGAAACCGAGCTACGAACAAGTTTTCCCACGAGGCACACTAATTAGCACACACCGACACCCCAAGTGTCCCAGCGTCCCGACTACTCCGTCCCCAATACACCACACCAAACCTCTGGACATGAACCATGATCCAGACCGCAAAACACACCGCAACATCGATTCTCGTCGAGGAATCTCACCTCATCTCACCTCATCCCTTCACCGACACCCATGTTATTCGGAACCATGAATTCACTAGGCCAGAATCATCGTCATCGAGCGTTGACTGTCTGGTTCAGCACGACCCCGTACCTGTTCCCGTGATGTGAACCCACGTGTGCAGCACACCCACTTTCTGCCGTCATCTCTGCTACCCCCCCTTCGTTTCCAAGAATCCCATCCGGAGCCTGCTGTGTACCCAAATTCCGAACCTGAAAGTGAACCATCCCCCCTGTCAAGCCATTACACACCATCCCGATCCAGCAGCCCGCAGTCTTTGTATCACCCACCGTGGTGTGTCTCTGGTCAGATTTCAGCTGTTGCGTTGGAACGGTATTTTGATATGTCACCTTCATTAGAAAATACTGATGGGACTTTTTCTTCTAGTGTGCTGTAACCCAAACTCTGATCGTGCCTTTAGCGGCGACTACGGATACACATGGTAAGGTACAACGCATACCTACTTGGCCGAAGTTCTCAATCGGGCAAATAGGATAAGCACATCATCCTTACGGGCGAAATGGGACAGAAAGACGAAAACAAGTCGAAAACTTGGAACAGAAACCCCCCGAATAGCAACCAATCTTATCAATCTCCCGTATTTCCGATCGACAGAGCAGCCTCAACTGTAATCCCCCATTGGATACCACTCGACGCCCACACCCCTCTTCTCCCCCAATTACAACCTCTCACATTTACCCCCGTTTGGGTGATCCCGAATGAGAACTGCAGATTCATCACCACGAAAGACACGCATGCGCACGCATTTAACATCCCAACACATCCTACAGCACAGCAGGGCTCTTTCGACATCCCATCGAATGAGGAACGGTTGATGCGCGCCTCATATGCAGGGCCATGACTCTCTCCGACATATTTGTCCTAAGTGTGCAGGAGAAATACGATTAATCTAATTGCCATTCAAAATCATGTCGAACCAACACAGCTGAATCAATCAGAAAAGAAATCAGCCATCTATGACAGCAAGCAAGCTAGGCCAACAACGAGGCCAGGGGTGTGTGTGTGTATGTATGTGTGTGTGTGTGGTAGCGACACGAAGAAAAAGCCACATGAAGTCGGGATCAAGAAATACCGAAGAATTACCAGCTCAGTTACACCACCCACTTTTTATCTCAATCGCCTCTCCCTGAGGTAGTTAGCACATTCCTCAGCTCTTTGGAAGGGTTTACTGTTTTGGGATATTTCGTATTATCCCGTGCTCCCATCAACACACACCTGCGTACTAGCTACCTTAGCCGACACACTGCATCTCAAAAAAAAACAGAGCACCGTCTCAGCGACGCCCGTAACAACAAGAAAGAGGTCACGGAAACGGGCAACGACGACGGGCTGACAATGATGGAATCACATTCCGAATCGGTCGACCTGCATACTTTTCCATCCCACCACCACCACAACCCTCCATTGGATACACCTGCACGGTAGTCCACCCCCACCCTAACGTACATCGCATGCCTACCATTCCTTACATTTCCAACTCCATACACACAGCGAAACCACGCTTAAACTCCAGAATAGCAATGGGCTCTGTCAACCCGCCACGGTCACAACATCCCGTACAATATCCCAGTTGTTGATCGACAAACGAGGAACCCTGGATTGGCCCTTGCACTCCACTCCCTTCCCTCCCACCTCACCCGGTGCGGCAACGGTATGTTGCCTGCGGTCGCGCAGCCCCAGCCCAGACACGGCTTACCGAATCGCTTCCGTCTCCCGTATCTCGGAGTGGGCTCCGATCCAGCGGGCTTTCCCCACCCCGGCCGTTTCCTTTGCGAAGTCTGCCCTGCTGCCCTGCTGCCCCCCCCCCCCCCTTCTCTATCCATGACCATGATCCAACCCCTCCAAGGCTCCAAGTATCTATTCCCTGCGCCCTTCCATTTCCCACTTGGAGCAAACTCTCCCATTCCCACTTGGAGGTTATCAAAATGGTATAGTAACTTGGTACGGAGTACGCAGTAAAGAATATCATTGCCCCGCGCCGATCTGCGTGGGTTGCCTCACTCACACACCCACGCAAAAGGTGCCCACAGAAAAACGATTACCCACACACCCACATTCCCTCTTGGCCTATCCGAGGGGGCTCCCCCTCGGTGCCCCTCAAAGTCCCCTCCAAGAGGACCGCCCGCTGCTACAATGCCGTGCGTGGGTGCAATACTGCAGCACTGCAACCCACAGCCCACCACACACAAAAAAATCTCACGATCGTGAAAGGAAGGGCAGAAATTCTGAACCAAAAAAAAAAGGTCTTTGTGCTCCATTGACTTTGCTCCGGGCCTCCGGCTTTCGTCGTAAGAGCCCGTGAGACTGAGAGACTGAGCCGCCCACGCGAGTCAACGGCGTCCCACGCGCCCAGACGCCTACCAAGAAATACAAATTGTTTCCCATCCACCAGATAACCCGCACAATGCCACCCCTTCTCGTCTCGCTGTCTTCTATAATATGAGTCATGATGCAAACCGTCGTGAGGGTAGAGAAATCGTGAGAAGCCATTTGATGCCATGCAAAGTCAGCTACACCGCCACCCCTGGTCCACGCGTGGGATATCATCAGCCGCCCCAAATTTTAAGTGTCCTTTCCCCGCCCCCAAAATCCAGTCATGCCGCCGCCGCCTGGTGATACGTCGATCAAAAGGTTCAAGGGGGAATCATTCGTAAAATCTGAGCAAATGTCGAAAATCGAGTAACGAACAAGTCCGTGATGCAGGTCGCCGAATTGAAAAAAGAAAGAACGCCATGTCGCCCCCCTGGTCAGATGCTGTCGATCCCCTTACTCCGCGCAAATGCGATTATCGTCTGTCCGTCACTGCCTTCCGGCCCGTGAGGCCGAGGTTTACCGACACGTGTCGGCGGACTGTTGCTGAATGTCTTGGACGCACTCTAGGTGGTCCATTCTGATAAAATGGGCCCGTCAGGAACTATGCAGAGCTCTGAATCCGGTGGCTATGAGACTCCGTGAGCTCTCCTTTGCGTCTGCTGGTCCGCTCCAGTAGAATAGCCCCTACCAAGTCATTAGCACATGTATCGTTTAATGGTACCATGGGGGGAAAACATACTCCCAGACTCTTCTGTTTGCAAAATGCAGCCTTCATCTTCACCGTGTCGGGGTTATCATAAGTGACGAAGCCGCCATCCCCTCCGACGCATTGGGCTCCAATAGACTTCTTGTCAATGACTTCCTTCGTCCCCCGACGGGGAAGTTGGTTGTACTCGAATGTCCCATTGCTCCCACCACCTCCCTTAAACTTCTGTCCCGGCCCAGTAGCATGAAGGAAGCTGCGACCGTAAAGCGGAATGCCGAGGAGGATCTTTTGCGAGGGAAAGCCTTGCGAGACGAGATATTGCACGGTCGATGCGCCCGACGTTTCGTCCTTGCTCATTGCATACAATTGCGCGTGATGGCCGCTTCTGTGTGTCCACGTGCCGGCGAAATCATACGCCATAAGATTGAGGTAGTCGACATAGTCGGCCGTTCGTTGCAGATCGATGTATTGCAAGATCGCTCGGCTGGCAGGTAGCGCAGCAGTAAGGAGATAATGACTTTCGGGCATATGAAGACGAACAGCCGCCAACAGAGCGAGGAAATGGTGGCCCTGCTGGGAATCACAAGGATACTCCCACATAACTGATTGACGATGTGAGCTAACATCCCACTAATGCAGAGGCAGGTATAATCGAGCCAACTCACTATCAATGCCATCTAAGCCCGACGCGTCGACCAGGCCTCTCGCGGACCTGGCAAAATTATCTCTGTAGAGCGTATTCGCAGCTATCACGGGGAACACGGCACTGGAATTGCCGCCCCCGATAGACAGAATAACTTGCAAATGGGGATGTTTTTGCTTGAGGTGCATGAGAGACCCTAGGCCACCTTGGACGCCATCAACTGGTGCGCGGGCATCGGCCCACTCGTCGCTCAGCTTATCAAAGGTTTGGTTAGTCAACCTCTACGACCAACAGATTTGGGATACTCACAAAAACCCCTCCGTCGGGCGAGATGTTTGCAAAGGCGTAATACACATGGTTGATGCAGCCATAGTTCATGGCGCCGGGTGTGTCGCCCTGGTATATCCGTTCGTTGGGGAAGTAGACGGCGTTGGTGTACATGACGTTGGAGATGCTAGTCGTTCTGCGCGACTTGCGTGAAGACGATGAAGAACTCATCTTGATTCTGGTTGCCATAAGACCGTTCAAGAAAGAGAGGCAGGGTTCGAAAAGTCTGAAAGAAAAGCAACTCTGACAGTCAATGTGACAAGGGAACGGTAGTAAGGACAGTATATGAAGAAAAGGACTTGAACCCAAAGCTGCATGTTTGAGCAATGAGCTGTTCGGTCAGGCAGCAAGCGCGAACCTCTGTGGCTCCAAACAGCATGGAGAAGTGTCTATATATCTGGCTAGACACCGCAGCACGGGAGTGACAAGCCAAATGCGACGGTGAGCGAACGCAGGACAGGCAAGGTAGTATAAGGCCTTGTCCGAGGCGGTGGAGACGAAGGGACGGGTATCAAAATTACAAGAGGGTCCAGGATACTTTGAAGCCATGATGCATGACATAATTGGGTTGGGGGTGAAGGATGGATCATGGGGGGGTGCGAAGGGAGTGAGTACTTGGATGCATTTGCGCTTGCAGGGGGATGGGTGGTGTTGAGACTTTTTGTCAAGTCATATATGAGAGATCTGAACGAGTGAGAGAAACGTCCATGTACCATAGACGAAGAGGCGGAGAAGGATGAGAAGATGGCTGCCAAAGCCAAATTGCAAGGCATCGTGGTAGGGCGGCCATGCCCGGCCACTGGCGCCGTTGTTTTGATTAGTTCGCTCGCTCGTCGGCGTCCTGACTCTCTCTTCTCTCTGTATGTGAGTTAGCACCAGCGCGAGTCTGTTCCCTCAATTCGAAGCCGGCCTTCGGCCACGACCACCGACCCTTGGCGGCAGTTGACGATCAGGGTTGCAGCGAACAGGAATGATCCCTGCGCAACGCACCGCTACTTTGGCCCTTCTTCCTCTTCCTCCTCATCTTTGTTCGTCCACTTCTTCTGCGTCTTCCAGCTGGATTCTCCACGCTCGCCCGGCCTTGCATGCAGGTCTTAGCTGTTATGTAGCTAGGGAGCCATCGCCCCAAAAGTCCTCAACGCCCATGTCCGTGCCTTGGTGTGTTATTGTTTAGACGCGAGCACAGTGGTGAACAGCCGCATTCCTGCCGTGGTTACTCTCGGTCGCCAATGCGAACATCGCCATTGTGCCCACGGCAGGGCGGTACGGCGACAGGGCGATAGCGGGGGAGAGCTTTGGTCTAGCGAGCTGCAATGATGGGCTCAGCACCTGTGGTGCCTGTTTCTCTGGCAATCAGACGTCGGGCTGGTCGGCAGACTAGTTACGCTCCAGGAGGATCTCGAGTGTTCCACAGCTGGTCATCCAGCCTCGTTGCATGGGAAGTTCTTTCGGCTCTTGCACACGGACGTTGATATTGCCATAACCGGATCGGGTTGCCGAACCACGGAAACAGGCGATTTGAACGAACACTCGCAGCAAGACTAATTTCGGCATGAAACTGGTCGATGACTTGGAACCCAGTTCGAGACATGCTTGTTATTTCCGACTAGCTCTGGAGAGCGCCACCATCAGCCACGAAGCGACATTGGAACCTGGTTGTCATTCCTCTGTCATTTGATATTTCTGGTAACCTGGGGGGGGGAGATGTTCGCTTAAAGGTGAGAAACCTTTGAAGCTAGGATGCCGAGGCTGGGGAAAACACCCCAGTCCCTGGATGTGGCTTCGAGCTGTTTGATCGCGTCCATGATTAGGAGTTCCCTATTAGTAGCAAGCAAGCTAAGTAGGGAAACCGGCCTGGAAAAAAGAAAGCATGGCTGGAGAATCCATGAGGCGTTGCCAGACTAAGACGACAAGACGTGCGGCAAGACAGCGAGGCGGTATTTCTGCTGTGGTGTACCAAAACTCTAAAACAACCTGCTTCCCTGAGATGGATCAAGTAGCATGCTGTGCCACGCTCCCACCGACGTTTCCGAGGAGTGTATCCCGCACTCGCTCCCGATCTCCCAGGGTCAGTTGCTACCCGTGGCCGGATGAGCGAGGGCCGAATTCGCCTTGGATTGAGTTGAGCCATTACAGACAGTGGTCATCACACTGACGTGCAAAGAGTGGATCGACTGGCGAATCGATATGCACTGAAACCTTCGGGCGGTACGGCGGTGTCTGTTGTTTTTGAAGTGGGTAGATCCCAGCTCCTGCGCCGGCAGGCCGGGGGCTGGTCAGTGAATCACACACGGACACGCAAGGAGAATCGACTTCAGGCGGTGAACTTGAGCGTCGAACAAGCCGGGCTGGGCAGAGGGAGCGTCTGCGTCGAGGTTTGAGCACAAGTGACAAACTGGAATTGTGTCTCTCAGGACGGCCGTCTCAGAGGGCGATTTGACCAGTAGCAGAGTTGCGAGAGTTGATGGGCAGGGGAGGGGTCGTCGAGGGGGACATGTAGCAGCAGCTTGGCTGCGTGATGTGCCCCACCAAACGATGGAAACAGCCGACAGAGTCGATGGGTTGAGGTGGAGGATGGGTGCAGAAGGACTGCATGCCACGCTGGCAGCACATGACGGAACATTGGAAGCGGCCCTGACTGCTGGGAAATCCGACGATTTGGATAAATGAGGTCATTGCAGGAGGGATGGCCGAGTTGGGTATCGATGAATAGGTGATAGTTGCATGGTGTGACCGATATGCGAGGGCGCATTGTTGTCTTGTTTGCCCATTGTTGGTGCAATTCGGGGCCAATGGCAAGTCGACGGCGAAGCGGACATGGAGGTGCTGTCTTTGATGTGCGTCCAGAGCACTGGCCGTGTCTCGTTGAGTTGCGTCGCCGGCCTAGTCGTATGGGCCCACGAAAGATACAGTGCTATAAGAGGACGTCTGTATTGTGTGTGCCCATACTCTCTCTGGCAGGTCGATCAAGAGTGAAATCGAGGTCTCAAACGTTGATCCGTAACGTGGTTCCGTGATCCTGCCATAAGCATCCCGTGTGCCCACACAGCACCCTGTCGTTGGTGTCTGTACGTACGAAGATATGCGGGCAGGGCCCCATATGTAAGTCAGTCGCAGTAGTCGGCTTCAGCCATTGGATGCCATGAGGGCAAAAGTTGACGGACCCCAGGCAAACTCTAGTCAGGGTCTGAAGAAGGCATCGTATTGTGCGTTCTGTCTTCTCCGTATCGGAGAAGCATGTCAGAGATTCGATGTTGAAAAGACGCCAAGACGATTTCGGCCTGGTTAGAACGAGGGCAGGGCGCACGCCTCTAAATTTGGCGGTATGGCAGATGAAAACATGGCAGAAACGCGCTATAACAACTGGCGCCCGCGAGGGAAAATGAGCGGGAAAAAGCGACAGGAGAAATAGGCTGAAGAGTAGCTAGGTAAGCTATTGATTGGAATTGCTTTTGAAAACAGGCGGAGGAGACGGGAGCATGGCCGAAGCAAGCAAGAGGGGAGAGCGAGAGAAAAAACAAAAAAACGATGTCGTTGGATTTGTGGCTTTGTTGGAGCAAACATTTCGTCAGCCAAAGGGTGCGGGGTCATTGGATTTCCTCCCACTTCATTCCATGTCCCAAATGCCAGAACCTGAAGGTACAGTAAGGTAAGGTAGGTACTGTGGAAGGAGGCCAAGGGTCCGGTTTGTCTCCGCCTGCCTGCAAAGTGTAACTTTCCACACCTGCAGCTGCAGGAAGGAGGAGGTTGGAGTTTGGATTTCGGAGGAAAGAAAGTTGGGAAGGTGTAAGTACCGCAGGCTGGGTCCATCCATCTCTGTCTCGAGTTCTCGGGCAGGTGGGCAGGACTGGCAGGTACCTACCTCACCTTGCCTTCCTCAACTTACTTGAAAGATACTTGGATCCTGAGACAAGTCAAGCGATTGGGTAAAAGATGCAAAGAATGTCCATACACTGAAGGTCCCTGCCTACGGTACTTTATGGATGCAATGAGGAAGCTTCGGCAAGCAGAGCCCCTCCTCCATCTGGGACAAAGGAGCCGGCAATGGGGTCGAATGCAAGAGAAGAGAGAAGAGAAGAAGAAAAGAAAAAGGGAAGGCGCTTGTCATTATGCACGGGTCAACGTCCTTGAGCTAAACCATCCGTGATGGATCGATTGTTGGAACCCTGGGAACATTTGGAGCTCGAAGGAAAGGACGGCCGAAGAAGGTGGGTCCTCCCTACTTGACTAAAATGGAAGAATTGTTCGTTCCTTCTATCCCTCCTGCTTGACTTCCTTGGCAACGGGCTCTTTCTTCAGCATGCCTGAATAGGCAGGCACCTTTCTCTTTACATTGTCGTACACTGTCAGTTACCTTACCTAGGTTCTGGCAAGTTCTCGCCTCTTTCCGCGTCAAATTGTTCCCAAAAACGGTTCAACTTCAGATGGCAAGCATTACATGTTCTTTGCAGGGGCACTACGAATAGTAAAAACCTAAATTCTGAGGTTGCATTTCCTGATTGCGTGACCGCGACGGGCCGGCTCAGCAAGAACATGAGGGGTCATTCAACGGCTCGAATCTGGCGACAAATTTCCGCTGCTATCTGGTTGGATGCTCCCCGATCTCTGAGGTTGCCAGCTCGGACAATCTTGCCTGACCTGACCTAATCGTACCTTTTACGATGCCCTGAAGACTTGGCAATCGCTGTTTCCTCTTTCTTGTCTACAAGGTAACGCCCGTCGACAAGTTTCCTCCAGTGTCTTTTATTTCCCAGCTCCAGCGTGAGGGCTTCAGCCCAGGGAATGTTGAGGTCACGCCGTAACGAACCCCAGATGCTGCAAAAGATACTGGAAGCTATTCGTACGCTTTTCTTCCATGGTCGTGCGGTTCAATAACATGGGCCGCTGCCAGTGCGGATCATAGCTTGCTTTCGACTTCGCTCCTATACCTATCATCAACACAAACCCAGTCCGATACCCTCATTCAGAGTTCCCAACCCCTTCATGACGGAAAAATTCTAATATTGACCATGCAGCTCGCCGGAAAACGGCTGTCTAGAGCCCACAGTTCAGTACTGTTCTTCCATCAGGCCCGGTCTGTCACATCTTTTTATTCGTTTTTCCTGGACAAACATTATCCTGTGCCGCTTGGCTTGCAAAAGCGGAGCAATCCCCCTGTCTTCATGTCACTCACCTACCAATCTCTGCTGCCCCTTGGCCTAAACCTCGGCCGGCACCCAATGAAGTGTTTCTTGTCCGTTGGAGCATTGCCTGATGCTGCTGCGTCCCCTCACTCGGTAACATGGGGACAGGGTCATAACCGGGTGAGATGGAACCAACAGAACACATGTTGTTCTTCAGTATACTCCCGGCTCTCCCACTCTTCCGAGTCTCCGAGGTCTCAATTTCCACCGCGGTGATAAACTTGACATTCTCGTCATTTCTCCTGGCTACATGCGAGTTTAAAGGTCTAGGGAAAAAACTCGAAAATCCACCAAATATCACTGTTTACCATCCATAGCGCAGCCAAGTCCGCAGGCGCCATTTACTCTACGGTGCGCATTAGTGCTAGGCATAGCATCCGTGGTGTCTGACTCGAGCCTGGGATCCCCTGCTTCTCTTCCGCCGATTAGCTTCGAGGACACCCCGTGGACCGGACAGTTATCTGGAGCCATGTCTAGCAACGCCAATCCCGCTCTTCAGCACCCCGCCATCATCGAAGCGGCCGCGGGGCCTGTGGATGAGAACGAATTCGACCCTGTGGACTGGGACGTGTCTTCCGTCGAGTCGGCCTCCGTTACCTCCAGCGTCTATTCTCACGAGTACGACAATGGACGTCGCTACCACAGCTACCGCCATGGCCGCTATCCTTTGCCAAACGATGACGAGGAGCAGGGCCGGGAGAACATGAAGCATGTGATGAATCTTGAACTTTGCGTGAGTGATTTCCGCGGCGTATAGAACCATGCCTGCTAGATGTAAACTGACCTTGTGATGCCGATCTTAGGATGGAAAGTTGTTCTATGCACCAATTGGAGACAACCCTCAAAAGATTATCGATATTGGAACGGGCACTGGTACGTAATCCTGAGTGAGATTGTTCTTGCAATATTTCAACCAACAAAATATTCTAGGCATTTGGGCAATTGAAGGTGAATCCAATATTCCTGATAACGAGAGGTAGCTTCTGAGTGCTAACCTTGATTGAGTCGCCGACCTTTTCCCTACAACAACAGTCTTGGGCATCGACCTATCACCAATCCAGCCGGGGTGGATTCCCCCCAACGTCAAATTCCTCGTGGATGACGCTGAGGATGATTGGCTGAATGGTGACAACTTTGATCTGGTCCACTTCCGCATGATGGGAATGTCGCTGAAGAAAATTGACAAGGTTATTGCCAGCTCGTACAAGTAAGTCAAGGTCCATAAATGGTTGACAAATATGATTCTCAAACTCTCATGCAGGCACTTGAAGAACGGCGGCTGGATCGAATTTCAGGAGCTCCACGGAGAAGTCCAGTGCGACGACGGCACCGTTCCGGAAGATGACACGGTCAAACGCTTCTGGGAAATGGGCAACGAAGCCTTCAGCCTCTTTGGCCTTCAATTCCACAATGCTCGCGATATGAAGCCCCGGCTCGAGGCAGCCGGCTTCAAGAACATCCAATGCGAGGTGAAGAAATGCCCCATTGGAACCTGGCCAAAGGATCCGACGTTGCGTCTCGTTGGCAAATACATGCAAGAAGCGCTCAGCGGTGTTGCTGCAGCCTTTGCCGGTAAGCCTTTCGAGGCGTTGGGTATTGAGGCGATTGAGGGGCAGGTATGGCTGGCGACTCTTAGGAAGGCCATCAAGGATAGAAATGCGCACCGTTACATGAACCAGTACTTCTGGTACGCACAGAAACCTGAAGATGCGCCTGAGAACGACGGCCCTGAAGCAGGATCATCTGACGGTGAGGCCTGAGAGGCGGGGAGAGTCTGGCTTGCTCTCCGCTTAATTAAAGTTCATAGTCAGCCACAGAAGATATTCGATAATGCACATATTGCTTGATCATGTCAAGGTTGAACTTGCTCAGCACACAAGCCGCCCTCTGATAAGCAACGATTTGCTTGGTGTCTGGGTCTTTTCAAAACCGATGCTTGCAGGATTGGAACCATGGCTGCGGTATTGACCCTGTAGGGCAAGAATTATGGTTTCTCGCTATGCCCCAGGTAGGTAGGTAATTTGTTGTTGAAGAAACAGGGAGGACAAGGTAACTACAAGTCTGGGGCGTGCATGATGTGACCTGACCCATAGAAGCTTTCGGTGCTGACTAATTTGTTTGGCGACGCAACCTGGGTGAAGCTTCTGGCCAATCTCATCGTTCAAACTTTCGAAGCTGCAATGCCAACCTACTTACCTTAAGCTTAAGTCGCGTTCTACCTTCCCTTCCACAACAATCCACTTCAGAAAACGCTACCACTTTTATCTCACCCTTGCTACGCAAAAAGTGCCAATCGGGTGCGATCAATCTAGACGAAAGACCGAGCACACCTAACGTGAACCCGACGAACAATACCCCCATCACGACAACCCGCGAGCCAGAACAGCGACATATCCTCAAAGCCCGCCCTTAGCTCTCCGGAGCGCCCAGCAACTCACCCAACATGGCAGCCGTCGCCCCCCGGCCAGAAACAAACCACATCCTCACCCACGCCGCGACAGCAACCTCCTTCGCCTTCACCCCCTTCCTCCGCCAAACCTACCGCCACGAGCTCTCCTCGGACCGCCCGCAATGCAAGCCCTTCCTCGCGGGCCACTGCCCTCTCGGCGCCGCCTGCCCAGACCGCCACGCCTCCTCCAGCTCCTCGAACCCGACGGGAGGGCCGTCCTTGGTCTGCAAGCACTGGCTCCGCGGCCTCTGCAAAAAGGGCGAGTCGTGCGAGTTCCTGCACGAGTACAACCTCCGCAAGATGCCTGAGTGCAACTTCTTCATGCGCAACGGCTACTGCTCCAACGGCGAGGAGTGCCTGTACCTGCACATTGACCCGCAGTCCAAGCTGCCGCCGTGTCCGCACTATGACAAGGGCTTCTGTCCACTGGGTCCGCGGTGCAGCAAGAAACACGTGAGGAGGAAGTTATGTGTGTATTACCTGGTCGGGTTCTGCCCGGAGGGCCCCGGATGCAAGTACGGTGCGCACCCGCGGTGGAGGACGGACCTGGAGAAGCCGAGTGCCAAGGTTGAGGGCGAGGAAGGGGAGATTAAGAAGGATGGGGAAAGGGAAGAGGGCGAGATGTTTCAGCAGCATCGGGGGGAGAGGCAGCGGGATATGCATGATGATCGGGGGCATGGTGGAGATCGGAGACATGGTGGTCGTGGAGGCCGGTGGCGCGGCGGCGGGAATAAGAGATACCGTGGACGTGGCGGTCACTGAGAGAGGCCTTGATGGAAGAGGTGATGGGGGCATGTTTGGACTTGAGACTATGCTGCTTCGACTAAGATTGCGAAGTCGGGGGCAGTCTGCGAGGGCGTGGGAGCCATTAGAGGATAGCCGGCGGAATGTGGCAGCATTGTTCGAATGCTGGCCCATAACATATTCAATGATACCAAATTTCATGATTCAGATTGACTCTACTGTTTGAAAATTAGCCACTCGGCACCGTTGTATCTGTAGCAGATGCAGTCGCGCGCTGATTCCCAATACCGTGAGCGCACATGACCAGACTTCAATTGGTAGATTTGGCACTTAACAGGCCAGTCCATCTAGGATCTCTGAGCATTGAGGTTGCATTAATCATGAGTCCATCTTGCTAAAGGGGCGGAGTTCTTATTTTTCTTCTCGGCTATTCCTCAATATTTACATGCGTCTTTGGGTACAGTTAACCCCTTTTTCGGTGACATCCGCAAGCTATTCGCTCTGCTGTACCACGACATTATCTAGATACTCTTCAACACACCAAAGATCTGAGGCCGAAGTGTGTTACTTTCCCCCCCGGTGGCCTCTATGACCAAGTAAGCTCCCACGAAGACGACCATGCTCCAGCAGACGTCAGAGACTGCAGACCGGTGACGTGGAGAACGCGGGAAGACGAGTCAAAGGACCAGTTCGCTCCGTCCAGGGCTTTGTCGTTGAGAGATACGGAAGAAACATCGCTCTGGACCCCCAGAACGGTGACGTTGCCGAGCGGGTTCGAGTCCTTGAACTCGCCCGATGGAGTGGCCTTGAGTGACTTGTCGGATGAGGAGAGCTGTTCATCATGTTAGCGTCTACTTCCACTTCTTTGTATTTGAACCGTGATAAAAGGAAGGAAACATTACCTCTACAGTGAGAGTAGCCTCCTGCTCCAAGCTCTCGCCGTCGTCTACGTAGAGACTGCCCGCAGCAGCACCTTCGCCGTCCAGCGCAACCAGCAGACCCCACGGGTTCGCCCGGCTCTCGGTCGTCGTCAGCGCAGGCTCTTGCGTCGGGATAACGTATCCGCCACGGAGGTAGACCGGGATGTGACCCAGCGGCGCATCGATCGTCACGTTCTGTCCGGGCGAGACGCCGGTGACGGCGGTCTGGTTGTACCAGTCATACCAAACGGTCCCCTTGCCGACGCCGGGGAACACGCCGCCAACGGTGCTGGCGCCTTGCTCGAGGCAAGGCGTCACCATGACCGCCGGGCCGAGGAGGAACTGGCGATCCGCGCCCGCGAGCCAGGGCTCGTCGGAGAACTCCCACGCCAGCGCGCGCATGACGGTGTCGCCGAGGGTGTGCGCCTTGTAGAACGCCGTGTACATGTACGGCAGCAGCGCGTAGCGGATGGCCATGGCGGAGCGCGAGGCCTCGGCGACGGCGGACCAGCGATAGGGCTCCTGCGGGATGGCGGCGAGGACGTTGTGGTTGCGGTAAAAGGGGAAGAAGGCGCTGAGCTGCATCCAGCGGGCGCAGAGCTCCATGTCCGTGTTGCCGTTGAAGCCGCACGTATCGACACCGAACATGGGAACGCCGAAGATGCTGAAGGACAGGGCCTGCGGGATGGAGAAGAACATGTAGGCCCAGAGGGAGGCGTTGTCGCCGCCCCAGTGGCCGGCCCATTTGCCGGAGCCGGCGAAGGTGGAGCGGCCGATGATGAAGGGGCGTTTGCCGGGGAAGACGGAGAGGAGGGCGTTGTAGGTGGCGTTGAGGATCTGGTGGCCGAAGAGGTTGTGGAAGTCGTATTCTTGGGTGCCGCCGTGGTGGGTTGCGTTGGGGGAGACCGCGTGGACGGCGAGGTCGCCTTGGATGTTGTCGATTACGTAGGGGGGGTGGTTCACGTTCCGGACGCCCGGGGTGGGCTTGGTGCGGAGGTATGAGGTTGTTGATGTCGTTGTAGGAGCGGCAGATGACGAGGTTGCGACTGCGGAGGTGGATTGGGCCGCTGCCAGAGAGACAGAGAGGGCGGAGACAGAGGCGGCCTCGGTGCCGTTGGTCTTGTTGAAGCCTTCGGGGTACTGGAGGACTTCGTTGCCCGGTTCTCCGGGAAGCTGGAAGGGCGGGTGGACGGGGTTGAGGGTGAGGTTTCCGCTGCCGCAGCTGCCGACGCAGAAAGAGGAGACTTCGGACATATCGATCCAGATGCCGTCAAAGGCAACCTTTTGGAACCATGTCACCATTTCGGTGGTCCACCACTCAAACGTCTTGCTGCGGCCAAAGACGGCGCCGACCCAGTCGGGGAAGACGGTGTAGCCGGGCCAGACGGCGCCGACGTAGAGGGATCCGTCTGGGTTGAGCATGAAGGCATCGGCCTCGACGCCGCGGTCGTATGTTGGGTAGGCGTCGCTGGCGTTCTCTGGGTTGGGGGCGTAGATGGCCGAGTCGACGATGGGGACAAAGTGTTGGCCGTTCTTGTGCAGGTTGCCGAGGACGCGGGCGGCGTCTTCGTAGCCCCATGAGTTTTGATCGTCTTCGAAATCGCGGTATTGGTTCATGTAGTCAATATCGGCTGGGAGCTGTCAGTTCTGAACTGTGGATGACTTTGAGACGGATCAGCTCACCCCAGAGAGTTTCCAGAGGAATCTCAAACTTTGCAAAGTCATCTGCAATCTCCTGCAGGTTATCCCAGCTGGTGTAGCCCCATCTGCACTGGTGGAAGCCGAAGGTCCAGTACTGCTGCATGGCGGGCAGGCCGACAGTGGTCTTCTGGTAGGACTTCATGACGGCGTCAGCAGTCGGTCCAGCGTAGAAGTAGAGGTCAATGGTGCCTCCCAGGCCTCTCCAGGTGATGCTGGACTCCCGGAGCAAAATCTCCTGGGCGTGGGCGTTGCGGAGGAAAACACCGTGGGTGTACGACTTGTAGTCAGCATTCTTGTCCGTGGCATTGGCAACGTAGACGGCCTCCATGGTATCGGCATCGACTTGATAGTAGCGGGTATCGAGATAGACCGGGTGAGAGCCGTAGATGTTCCCGTCGATTGGGTCACCGACATCAGCGGCGTAGAGTGTGCCTGTTTCCATGAGCTTTTGTACAAAATGGTCATGTACAGCGTTTACTTACGAGTGAGATTGTTGTTCAACTTGAAGCCGTGGATGACCTCGCCAAGTCCATACAGGTTGTAGTTCTCAGGAAGCGGCGAAGCAAACTCGAAGAACTGGTCTTCAAACACCAACTTCGTCCCCGTGGTCGTGAACAACACATCTCCAGTGCTCTTCCTGGACACATTGAAACCAAAGGTTGGCTCGTTTGCCCACTTGAACTCCAAATCGCTGTCTGAGCCATCAGAGCTCGCCTTTCCGTCTGCAGCAGGTTTCGGGATGAGCTCTTCGGGAAGAATGAACCAAGTGTTATTCACAGCGCCCAGGTACCGCGGCAGCACCTGTACGTGAAGACGGTCCGTCGACAGGTAGTCTACCAGGAGGGTCAAAGCCTCGACATCGTTCCCGTACAGATTGCAAGCTGAGCCGGCGAGATCGAGGTTGGCGGTGAATCCGTGCGATGACGTCTGGACGTTGGAGGCAGTGTATCCCGGGCAAACGCTCTGCGGGTCCTTGGCCTCCGGGTCCTCGATGTTGGGGATGAGATGCGCTCCCTCGTCTGCCGACGCGGGGACGGTGAACTGGGAGTGGCTACTGCTGATCGTGGTCGAGGCAAGGTACTGCCGTGCAAGCGGCTGGCCAAATTCCGCGACCCTCGCCATCGCGCAGAGCGCCATGATGGCGACTGTCGTCAGGAGGAAGGGCACGCGGGTGAACATGTTGCCGTTCTTGCGCTGTGTGTCGTCTCTTTTCTCTCCTTTCTCGCTCGGGTACTGCTTTGTGCGGCGGGTGTAGAGCATCCAGAGGCACTGAGAGAAGATGAGGAAGACGGCGATCCAACAAAGTGAAGTTGTCGAGACCAAGGCGTTCGCCGCCGTTCTTATACCCCTCCATCCTCCCCAGTCCATCCAGTTGTTGAGCGTCATTTTTTACCGGTAATGAGAGTAGTGTAGCGTTGCAGTCGCAGTCAATTGATTACCAAATGAATACCTGCTTCAATTGGTCTTACAAGAAGAAAGAAAACGAATCATCATCGTGAGGAAAAGGTCGTCGGCCAGACTGCGGTGTAGCTTAAGCTTCCCCGCACAGACTAATGCGGAGGGGAGAGACGAATGCCGGGGGGCAAAGATGGGGGAGAGAAATGACGGTTAGCCCCTGGTAATCTGGGGTAAAGAGGAACAGCTACGGTAGACTGTAAGACTCGAATTTGTGCGAACTTAATCGCGAAGCGGTTGATGTGGGATGGAAGAGAAGCTAACTTGGTGGAATGTTGGTGTATGTGGTGACGGAATGGCGCCAGAAGTTGGGGAAATGTGCGGAGTCTTGCGGAGTTTACGCAGACGGCGCGGCTCTCCCATCTCACATCGTCCCATGGGGTTGTCGATCGCCGAGGAAGCACCCGGCCGCGTGTAAGTGAATTGCTTGTCGCGACCTCACGGTTAGCTTAAATGCTCTTCCTCTACTGGTTGGATAATATAGTCGCTAAAATTCTTCTTGTGAGCTCCATCGCCTTGCAGCAAAGCATGGGGTCACATCTGGCTGGCTAGGAGCTCTTCTTCTGGGAACTGAGTAGAAGCTGCCGGGTTCACCGGCTTGTGGGGTATCTTCCCGAGGAACTCATAGTTTCTTGAATTCACTGACTAACTGTTGACTTAATTTTGACTCAGGGAATTGACAGTGGTCTATGAGATGAGATATGGGTCTGGCAGATGGAGTTGTGAGCTTCTTACAAAGACCATGAACCTAGAGCCTGGCGGCTGCCTTGGAAAGCTGCTTTTTCTTGCTACACAACGAGCCGGCAAATTGTGATTCTAGGTTCGTGGCATAAGGTTGAAACCACAGTTGTGAGCTCAAGATAGCTAGATAGCTGTTCAGAGACGACCCTTCGCTACTTTGGGAAGCAATATCTGGCAATTTGTATCTCCAATGCTATTGGGACATAAAGATTCGTAGAGCTACCGAAGAAAGCACCGTGCAGTGGTTAAGAACATCTTTTTTCTTGCAATGTCTTGTGTTAGATGCTCTAGAATAGCAATTGGAAAGCTGTGATGTTTATGGGAATTACAACGGAAGCCAACATTTGATTCACCTGCTTATTTCATGAAACGAACCCAGGAAAAAAGGAAACTAAACCAAGCTCTTCGAAAATTAGCATGGAATTTCTCAACGAAATCCAGATGCGTGATGCGTTTGCAGAACCCAAGCACCATGCAAAACGATGCTTACCGATATCGCTGTGGCAAAGTGCTTCGCCAACATTATTCAGCCATCCAACCCAGAGAAGTTCCTCTGTCAATGGGTAAATGAGGAGTATCAAAAGCATTTTGCGTGGAAGGAGAAGATCTCATCGCCGTGGGAAGACAGCCCAAAGGTGCTAATGCTTCTCACACGCCTTGAAACCACTCGACTTGGGGTTTGGTGCCGGTAGCTAAATCTCTTCCAGGCACCTGCATTCGAAGCGTACACTCCAAGACTGATTCAAGAGTTCCAGGCGATGGCGGAGGTCAAGTATGGCATAGCCGGTGGTAACAGGGTCATGTACGTCGGTCTGAGCATACTCTCTTATGAAATTGGAGGTGATCGGTACAAATGGCCGCAATATTTCCTGGGATGTCCTCAGGAATTGGGCGTAACGTGAACAGCATCGGGCTGTCAGTTCTGGAGAAGATAGGCCCCCCGACAGATCCAACCGGCAGAGACGTTGCTTCAGGACCACAATTTAGTACCCTCAAATACGGGACTTCCGGCTGCGCAGTAGGCTCAAGGCCAGGTCATCTCCGGCATCTTACAATCTGAGATGACCAACTTACAAAATAGACTTCCTTCACTTTTGGCAGCCTTACCGAGGGGACTAGAACTCAACACTCACGGGGCAAGCGGCCAAATACAGATGCCTACACATCTTGCCATTCAGGCCGAAGGAGGACAGGGCTAGTGTCAGCTGAGGCGTAGCGATTGACCACAGCTGTTTGTAAGTCACAACCACTGGGATAAACCGCAGGTTAGCCTCAAAAATAATGTTTCCATTTTCTTGGTCTGAATGAGTGTCATCAGAAGCCGGACCACAATCCCCTGGAATTGACAATTGAGTGTACTCTTTTAGTTCTCAAATCTTGGGAGAACGCACTGCCTGATATGATGGCTCGCTATCTACTGTATCAGCCTGTACTTTGGTCTTGCGGCTAATGACACTTTACTTAAACTAAGATTGCTGAGTCTTGAGCACTAATTGTAAAGCTTTCTTTTCCCACGCCGCTCTAGCGATAATAAGTCGGGTAAAGTGATGCCAGAGGGTTGCGGCGCGATGAGAAGCACCCCGATATTCGAATCCCATGTTTCGCACCCCAGCGAGCTATCCTCGATCATCCCAACACCAAGGTCTATCTCATTTACGGAGGTGATTTCAGCGCAAACGAGACCATATTCCATGGAACTCCAGCCTTGATTCTGGATATCTTCCTTGACTACCTCACTAACAGCGCCTGCGTCGTCGAAGCAGGTGTCGGTCTCACCATGGACAAGTTTGACTTCACCGCCACCGAGATCGCAAACAAGATCGGTCGTATCGTCTCCGACGTTGACGGGTCCTTTGGCAGGAACGTCGAGCGCATGAAGAGGATAGCATGTGTGGCATTCCGACGCAAGGAACTCGCCGCCGACACGGTTGATGAAGTCATCTTTGATCACGAGTTGCGATCGGTAGGCGGAGTAGCGCTGCGACCGATGCACCTTCAGACGGCAGACATGCGGATAACGGTATGGAAGGCCAGGAATTGGGGTCTGTGGCTCGTCTCCGTCTCTACGTTGACGGTCGGTGGTACAGCCTGCTTCATGGGCGCGAAGTATGCTCGGCGACTCAATTTAGGCATCTTTAGATTTGTCTCGGGTATCGTGTACGACGTGAATTGAACTAGAGACTTGGCTCGACAGCTTGATCTGCAAAGTGGTGCGATGCTAGAAAAGACGGAGCGTCGAAGGAATGAGTATATACATTCTACCGATTGGGGCTGTTAGACTTGTCCAATTCGTGAGCTTCTTCAAGATGACTTCATATGTGTCATGTGTAGTAAGAAGGAAGAAAATATGGCAGGTCAGTTTTAGTGCTTATCGATGGAAAACCAAGTGTTTACTGGGTCTACGCCACGAAGGATGCCTGCAGATCGATAAATCGGCTCTGCTTTTGGCCTTGTCTTACACGGACGTAGACATTCCAGCTCATACTGAACCTCCGGTCTGGAGCGGGGGCGGCGGAAAGCCACAGCCATGAGCAATTCCGGCCTTGTAATAGCACCCTATGATAGGTATATGGGATGGAGAACCGCAAACTTTACGGAAACTCATTTGAAAACTTTTATGGATTACTGAACAAAGTCATTAAAGAGGGAAAGGTTGTCGATTTTCCGTCACATCAACGCCGGCTATTTCACAAACCATCTCGACATCGCGATGGGGATCTCAAATGAGTTGATTGTAGTGCGGTTAGGCAGTCCGGATCTGAAGACTCTCTTATCAGTGTGCATTGTCTTCATACTTGCCTACGCGATTTCGAAGGTCCTCAAGGCACTATGGTATGGCCTGACAGGCCCCCTGGCCAAAATACCCGGGCCGTGGCTCAATAGGTTCACGGCTTTACCCTGGATGGCGGCAGTCGTCAGAGGCAAGGCATTTGAGCAGGGAATCAACTACAACCGCAAATACGGCGACATTGTCCGAGTCGGTGAGTTATCATTCGCGTCTCTTGAACATGATGACTTTTGCTGACATCTTATTGCAAAGCCCCCGATCTGGTTCTCGTCTCCGACGAAAAGTCCATTCACCAGATTCTGGTAGGAATGGATCTCCGAAAGAGTGTTTTGTATGAAAAGTTCAGTCAAAACGAAGACGGCGTGACGCTCTTCACCATGCGAGATCGGGCGCAGTACCGCACCCGGCGAAGACTCTTCTCCCACGGATTCTCCATCAGTTACCTCAAGGGCCTCGAACCGCTGAAGCTGAGTTGTATCGAGGCGCTCGAGGAGTTCATAAACAACCAGTGCGCTCGAGATGGAGGCGAGACCGTCATTGATGCTTGGAACCTGATGGGTCGTCTGGCGTCCGACATCATGAGCGCGACTGCGTTCGGTGGTTCGTTTGAGTTGGTGAAGAATGGGGAGCATCCCATTCGCAAGAAGTTTTCTGAGAGCTTCAAGAGGGGCACCATCGTATGATTGTCGCTCCATTTGATGACTGAGACGAAGTGGCTAACATTTGACGAAAAAAGTACCAATTACTCCCCTTCTTGAAGTATATCCCCTTCCTACCCAAATTTCGGGATCCCGAGCTCGCTCAACTCATCAGTGATATCATTGAAAAGAGGCAAGCGTCAACCGACAAGCTGGCTAAGCCTGACCTGCTACAGCTCCTCCTCGACACGCACGAAAAGAACCCAGAGACCCTCTCGCGCATTGAGGTGTTTTCCGAGATGCTAGTCTTCTGGCTGGCAGGCAGTGAGACAACAGCCAGCACGCTCACATTTGCAATGATGTTCTTGCTCAATGACCCGCCTTCATACCAGAAACTTGTCGACGAGATCCGCGGGAGGTTTCCTTTGTCAAAGTCGCCAGTTTCGGACGAACAGACGACAGACTTGCCGTTTTTGCACGCTGTTCTGAAAGAGACGATGAGGCTTGCTCCTCCGGCAACCGGCGGTAGGATTCCTCATTTTATCTCAAGCCTGAATATGTGATTTACTGACACTTGACTAGGCCTACAGAGGCAAACTGACGAAGATGTGATTCTGTCTGATCAGTTGATCCCGGCTGGGGTAAGCCGCCTCTCCTGCAAGACACTCAAGTCAAAACTCAGCTTTCCCGGAACTTTACTGACATCCAACAAATCCAACAGACTAGAGTGACTGCAAACACAACGGTACTGCACTGGGACGAGAAGCAGTGGCCTGATGCAGAGAAATTCGTCCCTGAGAGGTGGCTGTCTGGTTACAAGGGCATGGCCGCCAGCGAGAAAACGGCGTACTACCCCTTTTCTGCGGGATCGCGGAACTGTATTGGAAAACAGTAAGTCACTCGATGGTTCTCACTTTCAGCGTGGTACTCATCAAGCGAGCAGATTTGCGTGGACGGAGCTGAGGCTCACGCTAGTGTCTTTACTTCGGCGATATGACCTGTCTCTAATCCCCAATCAGTCTCATGAACTTGTGCATTTCACGGTCCTTCATCTGAAAGCGGGAAAGTACATGATTGGTATCAGACCAAGAGCTTTGAGTACTGAGTCGGAGTACCAAGAACTCCTGAGATAATTAATATTGCGCATTTTCATGACTTGAGTCCCTGAACCCAGTAGGCGGCATTCATCCACTCATCCCGCCGGTGAGAGTGAGAGTCCGAACCTGTGTGACTCCAATCTTGAGCTTTTGAAGCGTTCACGGTATGAATAGAGGTGACGTTGTCCCAGATGCCGGACTGTTTCCACAAGAGATGGATCTGTCAGTGAATCTTAAGTTGGCCATGACCGCCGAGTATCAACGGATAGCAATGAAAGCCGCAGTGCTGCCTTCTGCAGGTGGGGGCCCCGTCCAATGTACCTTACGGATACAGGGGCTCATTGCTGAAGAGCTACCTGGGCGGGACTTACGTAACAACATGCACTTTAGCAGATTACCTAATTTTCATGGAGCTTTGAACCCCTACCTTCCGGCAGGGAATTTTTTTCCTTTCCCCAACTTGCTTCCAAGAACTTCCAACTTCTCTTCTCTCCCCTTCTTTTTCCTTCACCATGGCAGCAGTCAGGGACAGTTTCCTTGACCTGGAAAAACATCGCCTGCAACTTGAAGACTCTGTTGCCAAGCTGCAGAAGGCTTTGCAGCACTGGCAAAAATGGGATGCTGAATACGAGTCCTTGAAGGAGGAAATCGAATCGGTTCCTCAGCCTGCCAGTCGAGAGGTTCTCGCGCGCATTCGCAGAGACTTTGAGGGCGAGGTCGTCGACAAGAAGGAGATCAATGACCTTTTTGGGCGCATTGATCTGAAACCTGCCGACCAGATTGTCAACCTGCTTTCGCGTCGCATCGACTATGTTTCCAAGAACATCGCCACTCTTGAGAAGCAGCTCGAGACTGCGGAACAGAAGCACGCTGCCACCAGCGTTCTCAGCAACCCTGATGTGCGCGACGAGGACGGCTTGCCTATAACGGAGATTATTGAGGAGCTCGACGAAGAGGGAAATGTGCTCTCCAGCCGATTGCAGCAGCCTGGCGACTCCAGCGCTCAGATCAGGGAGATCCTGGAGAAGGCAGGCGTAAAGGACATCCCGGCTGGCCAACCCTCACAGACGGAGACGACAGAGCCCATCGTGGAAGACATTACCGACGAGCCTCTGGCTAAGGCATCCGAGTCATCATCACCATCCCAGGACCCCGCGCAGTCTGCAAAGGTGTCACTTCCCGAAGCAGAGGTTGACGACTCTGTGGCAGTCAAGAAGTCCGTTTCATTTGCCGAAGACACCAAGCCCTCGGCAGAGCAGCAGGTGTCGAGGAACGCTCAACGGGTCGAAGAGATCATGCAGACGGCCAGGAGCCAGGAAGACATCAGCCGCGAAGCGCCCGTCATTCCCGAAGACGAGTCTGAGGAAGATGCTTTCCTCCGCCGAGAGATGCTGAAGTACGGTATGGAAGAGGTGGGCCAAGTCGTGGCTGAACTCAACATTGAAGATGGCGATGGCGATGGCTCTGGCGACGATGACGAGGACTGGGAGTATGAGTACTCTGATCTCGAGGACGACGATGAAGAAGACAAGTTTGGTCGGTCTACTTCCAGCGTCCTGGACGACGGGTACCATCAGCGGATGTTGGAGCTTGAGAAGCGACTCGGGGTCAAGTCTCGCTTCACTGAGAAGTCAGAAGCAGACGACCAGGATTCAGACGAAGATCAACAAGGCATTGGTCGCATCATCGTCAGCTCAGGTGACAAGGGCAAGACGGTCGAAGGCGCCAAGCCGTCGCCTGTGCCCACGGCGTCCATTCTGAGGACCTCTTCCCCAACAGACGCGGACGAGAGCAAGAAGAGCGTACGCTTTGCACAGAGCCTGGACGTCGCTCCAGACAGCGTTGCCGAACCCGCTGCTACGCCGCCGACTGTTCCGCAACCACCGCCAGAGCCCATCGTGGAGCCTCTCAGCGATATTGTGGAGCGTACTGGTCCCGCTAAGCAAGCGGAGGCCAAGTCCACCCGCAAGGCGTCTCGTTTCAAGAAGCAGAAGGCAGCGCCAACGGTCGTTGATGATGGCTTCGTTCCGATGGGCCCGCGCGATGTGCCGTCACGCTTCATCGACCAGGACAGGCCCACAGCCCCGACAGGACCTGAGGGGAAGATACTGGCAGACGCGGTCGTCGAGAAGGAGAGCAAGCCTCAGGACGAAAATGCATTTGACGAAGACTTCATTGACCAGGATCTCGCCGACGAGTATCACCGACAACGGCGGAACTTCATCCAGAAACAGGGCGGCTTCCTCCAAGAGGACACCTCTGTGGTCCGGCCTCTTGACGAAGCTGATGGTGGTCAGCGCATCAGCAAGTTCAAAGCTGCACGCCTCTCCAAGCAGTGATCTGGTCGGACCCAGAAGAATAGGTATGTGACTAACTGATTTCTTATCCTCAACTCCCTCCCCAAAATGATGACCAAGACAATTTTTTATACAGTTATCCCTATCTCAATACCATTATGTGGATACGGTTCTAATTTCTGATTTCCTTCTTTCTGCTACTCATGTTTGACGATCTTGTCCAAGGGGTCTGGCTAACACCACGCAAAGTTATCACAGGATACGCCAGCTTCACCATCCGTACCTACCGCGATGTCCCAGTTTGAGCGCTGTGACGCATCATGCTAGGTAAGACGAACATTTACTTGTTTTCACCTCCTCCCCCTCGACCTGATGACCAAGACAATTTTTTATACAGTTATCCCTATCTCAATTCCAATGTGTGGATGTGGTTCTAATTTCTGATCTCGATCTAACTGGCACTTTCTTGTTTGCACTTCACCGTCAAGATGTCATGGCTAACAAATGAGTTGCTGCAGTTCCTGAATCCAGTGATCGCACTGACTGATTGTTCCCCAATCCATTGTTCCCATCTAAATCTGACCTTGCAACGCCATCCATTCGGACGCGGAGAGGTGGGTAGAGCGGATAGGAAATTGGATTGATAGAGACCTTACTTTGGGCCTTCCCGCGCGGTCAGCGATTCTGTAGTTCATGAATCCTGCCGTGTCTTGCTTCTCACACTCTGCTACTGTCCACTAATTTTTACAGTGTTGGTTTCTTGTGATATCGTGGGCGAACTTGTTGCGCGTCTTCTCTCCAACTCGCTCGCATCGATTACGAGGAGGTTGGTCTAGCTGGCGGAACGGACCGCTTATCAATCTGACAATTGATGGGTCGCAGCAATCAATCTGCTTCACCATTACTAGCGGATCCAAGAGCAATGGCCTACGCATGGGCTCTCTGATGCCGTAACCTATGGCTTTTGCCATTGCAGTGGTTTTGGCTCTTCGTTTCACCCCTGACATAGCTATCCAGCTCAGAAGTAGTATTTAGAAATGATTCAATACAAGATTGTGGCGGTTCAAAGCATAATTCTTCCCCTCTAGCAACCTGTCATGAACGTGTGTTTTTATTTCTTTCGTCATCTCTCGTAACGGCAACGAATCCCTAACGTCTAGCTAATTTTGGCGTTGCTGAAGTCCATCTCCGGGTGCTCGGCCTGGAACTTCTTGAGGATATCAAACTTCTTCTGCTCGTCCGAGGTGGGCAAACCCTGCTCCTTTTGGCGCTGGTCAAACATCATCTTCTCCACCATGCCGCGGGTCTCGCCGTCGAGGTCCGAGAGCTTGCTCGTGTCGGGAGTGATCTTGGATACGTCAATCTTGGGTGCCGTGGTGACGACGTGCGCCCACCACTCCATCTTGTTGACCTTGTCGAGGTGGATCTCGACCGTCTTTGTGCCGTCGGGCGCCGAGGACAGGGTCCAAGTGGAGTCGTCGACGAGGATTGGGTGGGAGAGGTCGCCCTGTAATTCGTATGGCTATGTCAGATGGTTTTGTCTTTTTCTCCATGTGGTGTTTGCCTTTGATACATGGGCACAAGGGAAGGCTGGGAGAAGAAAGGAAGAGGAAGCGGGACGTACGCTAACGATTGGCTCTTGGCCCTTCACGCCGGCCGAGAGCTTGGTCTTCTTGATATCAATAACGAGGTCTCTGCTCTTGTAATTGCCCGGGACGCTGAAGGTGATGTCGACGTCGGCGATGGTCTGCTGCCACTTGTACGGCAGCGCATTCTGCTCCTCCGTCTCCTTGGCACGGGCGGCGGCCTCCTCAGCGGGCGTGAGCTCTGTTTGATTAGCATTTGTCAGCATATAATTCATACTAGTGACTTGTTTTCGAGTTTAAAAATCTTGGAGAAGGTGCTCAAAGAAGCAGAAACGTACCTGGCTTGTCGTTGTCGGCCATTTTGTCGCAGTTCTTTGAGTTGGTGTTGACGTCGAAGGCAGTAGAACGCACGCGCAAGAAGGCTGATGGAATATTTGGAGGGGTAGCTGCTAGCTGTGAGACCCTTGCCCCTCCCACCCCTGCTTACCTACCTGAAAGCTCCAACCAATCACCTCGGCTTAATAAATCCTTCCCCGTCAGCCTTGCACGTCAACTTGTCGTTCAGCTTTATCGCGATTGCAAACAAAGCATCATCGTCATTGCCCGAGCAAGAGGCTTCCTTTCTCGACACCTTTCACCTCTCCTTCCGGCAGTAGCAGCGTTTCAATCAATTCACTTCAGATGCCACATGCCATCTTGAGATAAGCCTCCACCGCCCAGGCTCTCTCCTCCGATTCTCTCCCGGGGGCCACATCTCTGCGATACTCACAAAACAACGAAACACTACCTCTCTCGAAATCCCTCCTCCGCGACCATCACCACCACCGCATTTAAGATGGCCACCCGGCGCGCCTCCACCTCCGCAACAGCGGCCCCAGCCCCCTCCGCGACAAACGACATCTGCCCCGTCTGCAAAACAATGCGCTACCTCAACAAGGACCTCGAATTCCTCATCAACCCGGAATGCTACCACCCAATGTGCGCAAACTGCGTCGCCCGCATCTTCTCCGACGGTCCCAACCAGTGCCCCTACGCAGGCTGCCATAAGACCCTCCGCAAAAAGGGCTTCAAGTCTGCCTACTTTGGCGACCTCACCGTCGAGCGCGAGGTCGACATCCGCCGGCGCGTCGCCGCCGTCCTCAACAAGGTCGAAGACGATTTCGAGACGCTGGCCGACTACAACGAGTATCTAGAATGGGTAGAGACCCTAACGTTTGACCTCATCTCGGGAACCGACGTCGAAAAGAAGGCGGCCGAGGGGAGGCTGATGGAGTGGGAGCAGGCCCACCGCGCCGAAATCGAGCGGAACCGCAGGCTGGCCAAAGAATCCGAGGCGGACCGCGTCGCGCGCTTCGAGGCCGAAAAAGAAGAGGCGCGCCTCCGCCGCGCCGAGGCGATGCAGGAAGACGCGGCCGAGAAGCGCAAAGAGCAGCGGCTGCGCGAGGACATGCTCAACGGCCTCGCGAGCAGCGACGCCGGCGAGGCGAAGCAGACGCTCAACCGCGTGCTCCTCAAGAAGCGCGGCCAGAACCGCCTCCAGTCCGCCGTGGGCACCCTATCAGAGGCCACCTCCACCACGGGCGCAGGCGGCCTGTCGATCCGCGGCCTCAAGCAGCAAAAGAAGCGCGTGGTCGAGGACAGCAAGCCTTACGACCCCTTTGGCGGGCTCAAGCTCGACATGGAGAGGTACAAGATGGGACCTTCGGAGGAGTACCGCAACCAGTGGGTCGACGAGGCGAGGAAAAAGGACGATATCGTCGTGGGCGGGTACAGCGCCGACGAGTACCTCGGCCGGGCCATGTTTGAAGCCTTTTCCGGGTTGGCCGTGTTTATCGAGGATGAAAAGGGGCCTGAAAAAGTGGCTACCGCCGAGGCGGCATTGGTCGCGAGTACGGGTCAGACGACGCAAAAGATGGATGTGGATGATGTCTTTTGAAGAAGAAGATGAAGGCCTTCTGCACCTCTCTTCTGTTACCCAACTTCTTCTCTACTTTTATTGGCTTTGGAACGGACTGGGATGCATAGCGACGGCGTTTGGGATCCATTGGGGCATTACATGCAAAAGTAGGATGAATACCTTAGAACAAATGGGTCAAAGGAAACTAAATACCCAAAATCGATAGCAAAACAAGTATATGGCCACGGGAGAGTGTGTACCTGTATGCAAGAATTACATCTAAGTTATGCTCACTAAATAATACATCTTTTCAGACTCATACTGCGACGGCCGCTGGCTTCCGCCGGTCCCACCATCCCAATTTTGGAGCTTTTAGTTTTCGTGTGATAACCCTGTTGCCCGTCTAGCTTACGCATCGTTCGATTGTACAAAGCAGAAAAAGACCCTCGGAACGCCACGCTTTGATTTGAGATTTGAAGAAATAGTGACTCCGGTTGGACTGAGCTGGTGTATTTGGAACAGCTGGTCAGAGCATTCGGGAGAGCACTGCTATTATGTCTGCCAGGGGCTTTGCTGGATGGGTCGGGGGAAAACGGGCGTCGTCTCGAGAGTATCTAGTCCGCCACCCATTGGCTGTTGGTTATGTTGCCAGCCCATGCCGGTTTGATGGTTGACAAAGGAGCCCTGGCGGAAGGGGTTTGTGGTGCCTGTTGGTTGAGGCACGATGGCTCCAGAGCTAGTTGCAGGCCGTTGCTGCTGGAGTTGAGAGCCGGTGAAGTTCTTGGCGAATGGGTTGGTACCAGTCATCATTGGCTGCAACGGAGCAATCGTGGGAAGTTGCTGTGTTTGTTGCTGAGGTTGAGGCTGAGTCTGGAATGGTGAATTACTAGGAGCCGGTGAGAATGGCTGCTGGGCTTGAGGTGAGGATCTGGCAAAGGGGTTTGTAGACTGCCTCTGCATGTTGGGGCTCGCCGGGTTCGAAAATGCCGTGTTTGTAGACATGCCCGTTTGCTGGGCCATCAGCATGGATGCCCGGAAAGGATTGGTGATTTGCTGGCCGGCTTGAGGGCTCAGCATGCCTGTGTTGCCTGTCGGGAAGCTTGCCACAGAGTCTTGCGGTATTGAACCAAGTGTACCCGGCTGATAAGGCTGGGGCGAGAAGCCTCCGAACCCAGCTCCGGTGAAGCTGGGCTGCAATGGCTGAGCCACTGGCTGCTGCTGTGGTTGCTGGGGCGGCTGTTGTTGTTGTTGTTGCTGCTGAGGCTGGCCGAACGGATTCGTGCTCTGCGGCTGGTACGGGTTAGAAGCGAAGCCTGTCTGTTGCGGCACAAATCCTGTCGGCTGAGGCGCAAAGCCATTCTGCTGGAATCCAGTGGGTTGCGGTTGGAAGGGACTGTTGTTGGCAAAACCGGTCTGCATCGGCATTTGTTGCTGTTGCTGGTGCTGTTGTGCGTTCGGCGCCATGGTTGTCTGGTTCTGCTCAATAGACTCGAAGAAGTCGATCAGATCGGGGGCAGGGCCCTTGGCGGTCTCGGTCTTTGGCTGCGACAAGCCATTCGTGCTCGGGAACGTACTGCTCGGGAAAGGATTGTTTGCCGCAGGTTTGGAGTCGAATGCGCTGGTCGTCGGCTTTGACACTCCTCCTACCTTGTTCTTCTTGCCCTGCTGCTCAGCAATGTATTGTCTCCGGTTGACTTCGAAATCTGGGTCGCTCAAGTACTCCTCTAGCTGGCGACCCAAGTTAACCGGCGCATGCTTCAACTTGGGAACCTCGACCCTTGTTTGATGCTCGTACTGTCGGGCGACGCTGAGGTATTGCACCACGAAATCGGTCTGCTTGGTGAAGGTGCGGTAGATGGCCATGGCTCTTTCGGCATCGACCTTGGACATTTCGAAGAAGGTGCCTTCACATGTTAGTTACAGGGACGTGCCAAGGCGTTTGGGTCGCCTTACCGAGAATGTTAATCATTCCCTGGTTTAATGCCTGGAAGAGAGCCAGCACATCAAGCACGAGCAGTCTGAAGACGGTGACTGTAATTTCGTTTTCGATTTCGCCTTCGAGAACCTGTGTAGCGTCAGCAACCGTCGCACTTGGAGACGCTTTGCAACACGAAGTCGGAGACTAACATCGCATTTCAAAAGAGCCGAAATCTGGCTTTGAAGAATCTCCGTTTCTCGCAGTAGGCCCTTGTCGACGGAGAGCTTCTCTAGCCTAGACTCCTTCGTTCGCACCCAATCGCACTTCGTTTCCCGGTAGGCTTTGGATCTCGCGGCGAGGTAGCCGGCGTAATGCCGAATGTTCCGTCCTTGTGTCTGGGCTGTAGGATAGTTTAGAAAACAAGTCCACCAAACCTTGGCCAGTACTCAATCTCTGCAGGAACGACTAACCGTCGGTGAAGCTGCTGATAGCAAGCGTATTCGGGTGCCTCGAAAGGTAGGCAAGTGTGACATCGGGCGAGCCTTCACGGATCATCAGGTGAACGGTGATCAAGCTCTTGAAAACGACGGTCCATGTCGAGTCTCGTAGACGGAACTGAAGGGCGCGAAAGACCTCCCCCACGCCCGCTTCGCCGGCATGTGTCGCAACAAGAATGTGTTCAATATACTTCGTCTTGGGCGGCGCAGCCTAAGAGATGGGATTAGCATCATGACTGAGAGAGAGACGCGCTCAGCTGCCCGACGTGGGCTCCAGCCTCCCTTTGACCTACCTTTATCTTGGTGGCCCCCTTGACCGATTTTTCGAATGAGCTCGACATTTTGCCGCTCGGTCAAAGCAGTTCGATCAAGTCGAATCCCGTGATGATCAAGGTCGACAAGGTTGGCGACGGAGAAAAGGACAGTCGTCGTTGGCGGTTCGGACGAAAGTCGCACGAAAGTGGAAAGCGGCGATGGAAGAGTCCGGCCGTCACGGGCCTCGATCAAATAACCTTGATAAAGCCGATTCCTTCAATGGGTATTCCAATAAGCAGATACCACAAGCTCGTCAAGGAGTGATATCGGGTCGCTGGCGACGGCGAGGAAGAGTGGGTGTGTGTGTGTGTGTGTGTGTCGGTGGTGACGGGGGCGCGACGACGTTTGGTTGCAGCCCAGGGAAACCCTCAACTGGGCGAAATTGGGTCCCGGCAAGCTTCAATGCGAGAGGGATGGTTCGGATCCGGAGTATGGACCTATGGCCATGACAGGGTGTCGGAGGGCCTACGAATGGGGAAGCGGATTAAGGATACAGGATTGGATATCGTTTATCGTAATGTAGGCCTGATTTGGCTTCGTTGGGTAGGCCGGGAAATGAAGGACGGACAGCGTCAGTATTGACGATGGCCACGTTAGTCGGGAAGTGGTGGGATAGATGGATGGAGTGGACCGTGGTGAAGGAGGACGGGCCACGGTCTTGATTTGGAGAGGTCGGCTGGTCGGGCTTGGGCTGGGCTGAGCCTACGTAAGGCGACCTGTTGCTGGCAGGTTGCTGGACACTGGGCACTGGTGTCGTGGTAGTGGAGGTTGATGGAAGGGACGGAGAGACGGAGGGAGAGAGAGAGGAGGTGCCGCCGCTGGCTGTGCTGGCCGTGCTGCTGGCTCAACGTGCGCTTGTTCGGGTGTGAGTGGCCGGCGTTGTCTCTAGCGAGTTCCGTTTGACAGCCCGAGATGCTGGTGCAGGTGCTGCTGAAGCTGTGCAGGGACACCTTTAGTTCTTGGGTACCTTAGTTTTCGCTGGTCCAACGGGAAGCCACCTCCAGTGCAGGTGAAGGGTACGTATCCTCGGTTAGGCCGGTAGTACCTCCTAGTAATACCTTAGATACGTTGGGAATCCTGGAACCTTGCGCTGAGGTGCGAGCTGAATGGTGATGATGCTAGCAATTCGGCAAATGTCTCCGTAGCAGCTTCTAGGTAGTCCCAACTGGCAACAATAAAATATGTATCAAAGTGAGGTGGCCTTGGCGTCAACGGTTGCGATTACGACTGCGACATGACCACTAAAGAGATTCTTCAAGGGCGGTATCCATTCTCCTCAGCCAGTCTCCTGCATAGCACTCACTCGATTCCATCAATCTTGCAGACGCCAGACAGACAGCAGAAAGCGAGTTGATTCAGTTTAGCGCCTCTTTTGGCGTGTGTGAGGTGGACCGCAGAACGGGATCCCGAACACCATCTGCCTTGGCCCTTACCTAGGGGCCCAGCCATCTTACCCTTCATCCCTCCACCGACGTTGAGGCGATGCAGCTGTGAGTCTGTAACTTATAAAATGTGTGACCTGTGAGGTGCATGCCGCCATTGTCCCGTCTTTCCCCCTCGATGCTCCATGCTCCATGACACGGACGAACACTGGCAGTCCCGATGAGCCGGGATCTTCCAACGACCTGTAGGTGTGTGTGTGGGGAGCAGAGACCGAGCCTGGAGAAGCAAGCATGGTTGATATCCTGCCATTGCTGGCGATGGAATCCGATCTGATGATGGCTTCACCGATCCGATCTTAATGACAGCTTCATCAGTCAGCTCACCCTCAGCTGGTTGCAGTCAAATACCCTATTACTCTTCCATCCATCTAATTACATCCAACGCTCATGATGCATTTCGCAACCCCTCGTGCTCGACATGACTTCAAAACTTTGAACGGCACCATGACTTATTGAAACACTTTGGGGAAACATGGGGTTCGCTGAATCATCAAACGGAGACGTCTCCCATCACATGTAGAGCACAGTGGCACAGTGGTTGGTTCTCGGACCCTTTTGTTTTTTCTCTCGCCCGTCATTGGGGTCTTGACTGATTCATTCGAGTCTGGGAATGGCTGGCGAGCCGCTCAGGGCGCCATCCTCGTCAGTGTGTATGCACTGACGAGGTCAAAAATGTCTACCATACAAAGAAAGTGTCCAAAATTGGTGCATCCAATCCCACCGCCGACGGCCGCCAGTCACTACTCAACTTCGTCCATTCGCATACCGCGCCTGCAGAGCCCCGAAAGCTTCACCGGCGCGATACCCGTCCGATATTTCTCGCTCCCAGCCGACCGCAAAATCTCTGGCTGTAGCCGTGTCAGGAAGGACGTATCGACGTACCCGACCACAGGCTGTGCCATCAACAACATAAATATTGTTCGCGCCAACTCAGAGCAACCCCATAGGCCTCACTCGAAGCCTCGAGGCTCCCGGTTGTCGTCGAATGAAAAGTGCCAAGCCCACAGAATTCTTCCATTTCGTGAAAAATCAGATTTGCCTTTCATCGCGTCCGATACTAGTAACAAGGTCGTGTCGAACGCCTATGTCATGGCCCCCTCCGCCGTCAACACCTTTGCCCTGAAGCCACCAAAAGGGGAGAGCTTGGATGCTTCAGACGGAGGCAGCAGCATCATGTTATCCACGTGGCTATCATCACCTGCAAGAGTATCCAATTAGTAAGGTGTTTTCGTCGTTTTTGACAATATGCGCAATTGCGCCGAGGGAGATGGGGGTGAAACCAAACGTACACTTTTTTGAAATGGAGAAATCATGAAGAGGAAAGGAGGGAAACTTTAGGGAGTTCTCTGAAAGATTTTTATATGGACGCGAGGATCTGCCCCGCGCTAATCACTTTTTTGGTGGGGACCTTCTGCCTGAGGTGCCAGCAAGCGCCGGCTAGGGACCTGAATACGGCGCGCCATACAGCAGCAGCCCACCTGTGTCGCATTGGATGGGTGGGCTCCGACATCGTTCCACTGTTTTATTGCAGTGAACAGTAAGCTAGGGACTTTAACCTGTGATAGCTTCAAATGTCACAAAACCACATCTGATCTCAGCCCACCTATCATCCTTTCTCACCACGCCATTGTGCCCTGCCGAAGCTCCAATTTGATTGCTACATTGTGTACATCCGATCCTCGGCTTCTGCGCAGTCGCTCGTCTTCACTCAGCCCTGCTTGACTTTCCAGATGCTTCGCCAATGCTGTCGCAGTAGAGCATTGGCTTTCCTGCGTCCGCGCACATCACAGTCGCAACCCCTTAGCCGAAGTCTCTCTCTGTTTCCAAATACAACATGCGGCCAAATCAATCCTCCAGGCCCTCAGGCTCGTCATCTGTCAACGACGAAATCCCAGCGCGAGCAAGATGAGTCAAAACACACACAACTGTCAGAGGAGTTCAAGGAGTGCTGTGAGCAAGTTCAAGAATACCAACGTAACTCCTGAAGCTTCTGCTGACTTTCGAAAACAACAGTCGCACTTCCCCAGATGTCATCTCCTGAGGCATGGAGCAAACCGGGCTCCTCGATCATCGTGAGCGGACACATCGGCCGAACGAGAAAGGTCGGCAAGAACTTGGCATTCGCCCACCTGGAGCGCAATGGGGAACGAATTGGCCAAATCTGTGCCAAAGGCGATAATGCGGCGGTACTAGCAAAGATTCGTCCCTTCAGTGCCGTCTTGGCAAAGGGCGTAACGACGGACGCATCGGGCGCGACACGATTTGAAATTGACATGGAATCGATACAATACCTCAACCCCTTTCCCAAGGACATCATCGTTGGCCCAGACACGGTGTTTCCGCCAGAGCAACGCCATCTTCAGCTGCGCTTCCACAAGGAGCTGAAGGAGAGGCTGCGCTTCCGTGCGCAGCTCAAGTCGTCCATGGGGCAGGCGATGGTGGATAGGGAGTTCATGGACGTCGAGACGCCCATCCTCTTCAAGTCTACTTCGGAAGGCGCAAGAGAGTTCATTGTGCCGACGCGGCGACCGAGATACGCCTATGCCTTACCTCAGAGCCCGCAGCAGTACAAGCAAGTCCTCATGGCTTCAGGCATGGGGGGTTATTACCAGTTTGCGCGGTGCTTCCGTGATGAAGATCATCGTGCAGACCGTCAACCCGAATTCACACAGGTGCGTGGTTCGTGCTGCTGATGGATACAAATAGCTTACATAATTACAGCTGGATATGGAGAAATCCTTTGCTACGGGCAAGACCATCATGGAGGATGTGGAATATGTCGTCGGCCGTGCGTGGGATACTGTAAGAGAGCAGTACGTCATGGAAGTGGGAGAAGACTCATTCGCGCCAATTAGGAAGGCATCACTCGAGGTATGCGATCGCTCTCTATTCCTAATGGAGCGAAGTAGACTTAAGAGCTGACTGAAAATAGGACTGGAAACAAAGTGTGCAGGACAGCACAAAAGACGACGCCAAAGCACCTCTCTACCAAGAATACCATGCCATCTCTGCGCCATTCCTGAGAATGAAGTACACCGACTGTATGGACTTGTATGGATCCGACAAGCCGGATCTGCGCATCCCCAACAGGGTGAGTTGCGTCCCACAGACGTCCTTTAGCATTCCAAGACTAACAGCGTTCAGATATGTCGCGTTGATGAAAGCCTGAACAAGGACTTTGTCAGCATGATCACCGACCTTGACGCACCAATTGTCGAAGTCTGGAAGATCAGCCCACACGAAGACGCCGACAGGCGTGACGTGTGGAAGTTCGTGACGGAGTTCATGGAGAACCTTCCCAAAAGCCTTTCACAAAACCCAGACGGCGCTCCCACAGCCCTGATGTTCGACAGCAGCAAACCGCTCAACGGCTTCTCCGCTCTCGGACCCGAAGGCCTAGACAGCATCCTTGGCTCTCTCCCCGAGGAAGCCGGCTTTTCGTCGCTCGAAAACGGAGACATTGTCCTCTTCCAGGCGCGCAAGAACCAACCCCAGCAAGGAGGCTCAACAAAGCTCGGCGAAGCGAGAATCGCCCTGTACCACGCCGCCGTGGAGGCCGGCCTCCTGGACAGGGACGACAGCTT